GAGTTGTTGCTGCAGCTGATATCGTAGAGTTTGGAAGCGGGCAAGTTGTCGAGCATGCCTCGCGAGTCACCTCTGAGTGTAGCACACTTGAAATGCACGAATAGATGGCAGCATGGTATTGTAGTCAACATACCGAGGCTCGTTGGAAAATGTTGGGAAGTGTATTAACCTCCACGACCCGTAGGAGTGTTAAAAGGGTGATCTAATCAAGAATTGTGAGAAGGGTTGCACCGAAAGATCGTTGACCATCAGCTGAAGGTGCACTCAGTTCGCACTTTCGCCTCTGCTTCGTCATCTTCTCCCTAGCAATATAAGCAAAAAAGAGTTAGAGTTGTAATTAAACCTATTTATGAAACCGTCACAGGCGATTTGATTTCTACTAGAAACACAGCTTATGTACAAGTACAATATTCGTTTTCCTGACACGGGCCGCCGCATATTTTTGAAACGTCGCTTCGTCGCTCTTTCTTTCCCATGTTTTTTGCGATGACACGAAATTGCGCTGTAGTTTAGCAGCTGGTCCAGCTGGGCCAAATCTCTCACCTTGCACGTTGCTAGGCTACGGCCGACGCCCACGGATGCTCAAGAAATCTGAGGTAGCCTTGGAAATAATGCAATTCCGCCATAAAACGCAGCTACTAAGTTAGATCCAAGAATTTCGGTACTAGTTCTATAGCCTAAAAAGAGACGGTAGCAAAGTGGTGTGCGCTCAACTGTTGAAGGCAGGAACCTTCAAGTCTCATTATGCTAAAGTACGTCATTCTATGAACATCTTGAGCTGCTCCACATGAGGGCGAAGAGGAGGGCGACATAAAAATGCAAAGTAAATTTATTAGGTAAATAACAGGATACCTCTGACTAAGGTGCGTTCGCTGTATGCCAACGCACAAGCTTGTCGAAGGCAAAGCGCAAGCTTTTGGCCTTTTCTATTTCTGAATGGTTTCAGCGATGATGGCAACTGTACAAAAGCATGCGGAAGACTATGATGGTGCGCTTTTCGAGCTGCCTGATTGGTTCCATCAGCTCGTGAGGTCGGCTGCGTCTGGTCTTAAGATAAACCGAAGTATAGCTTTATAACTACTTACCAATCATTCCAATCAGAGGTAAAAACTTCTTTTTTTTTTAGAGCGGGTTCAATGTGAATTAAATTGCCTCTCTCTTAGCATCAGCCATCGTAAATGGTGACTTCCTCGGTTCCTCAATTGCGGACGCATACTGCTGCGGTCACTCCACTACTTCCATTCGCTTCAGACCTTTGGCATACGTGCCAAAGTTTCAGTCGCAAGTTGAAAATCGATGTACACGAGCGGAAAACACGTGAACGACAGAAATTTGAAATGAAGTAGTTAGGATTGCACAGAACGAAAAAATGAAAGACCTTTACGATTTCGTGTAATGCCGAATTAGAGCGCACCACTTGAGGAGGAGAAGGGGAGGGTACGGAGAGAATGTTATCCTCCTCCTCCTCCGTACCTTCTCCTCCTCCCCCTCCTCCTCCCTTCTCCTCCCCCCTCTCTCCCTCCTCTCGCCGAGAGATGGCGCCACAGGTATAACCTTTGCGCAGTACCGCGTTTTTAGCAGGCGGTTAAGGGGCATTCACACGAGGGAGAAATCCCGGGGATTTCTCCCCGGCACGCGCATCCCACGACGAAAACGTCAGGCTTTGCGATGTGCAAAAGCCTCGCGTTTTCATCTCGTGATGCTCGCGTGCCGGGGAGATATCCCCGGGATTTCTCCCTCGTGTGAATACCCCTTTAAGCGCGTCGTTTTGCCGATGTGCTTACTTTTAACGTTTACTAGTACCGCGGCACTCGTAGACGTTAAAATAAGTATTTGGATGCTGTTGAGGTGCGACATTAGCAGATGTGATAAATAAACAGACGTTCCGAAACAACTTGCGCTTACACTCGTCTTTATCCGACGTATGCGTAGAACTGGAGTCCGAGCACTGATTTAGCAGACGCTTCCGCAGGACTTGTGCAGACTTCCTTCTCTTCAAGCGACTTTAACGTTTGTCTGTCCGTTCTGTTCGTTCAACATTCTTCAATTGATAATGGAGTGTGAATCAGGCAGTGGCGTGTATATCGAAAGTGAGAACCCTCAAGTGTCAAAGCCCGAGACGAAGGGCTGCAAACGCTGCCGAAACGCACGCCGGTGGGAACGAATTGTGAGTAGAAAGAAGCGAAATAAGGTAAATGATGCATGAATTGAGAAGACAGCGATTTGATATAAAATGGGATGTTAATACACGAGCCCCGTCGCCGGGAAGTCTATTCACTTCACAAATGTTCGAGGTGATGACATTGTGATGCAAAAAGAAGTGTCATTTGAAAGTGCCCTGCGAAAAGCAGAGAAACCAGTTTGATACGTTATAAAAGCTAGGAAATTTCCGCAAGCTAACCATTCAATTTCAAGGTAGAATGAATAATTATAATTCTGATAATTAGACGAACAATCGCAGATCAAGGTAAGAGATGTACGTGGATTTACCAAGACACCTCTGACCAAATCAAGCAGGATAGACTCAGCAAACAATTCTTTTTGGGCTTTACGGTATCGCGAATAGAATAGTGCAGAAAGTGCAAGGTAAACTACTGGAAGGTTGTGCGCTCTGTGATGGCAGAGGAAAACACGCGTTGCAGACAATAAAGCTATCTGAAGACGTAAAAGACCTGATAATCACTTTTTTTGCAAGAGCCTTCCACATAAACGATCTCGCTACAGCCGTCGCGATTCCGATTTGTTCTACTTCGAAAACCCTGAGCTCAATCTGGCAGGATTATACTCACTTGTTGGTAATTATTTCCAGAGCGCCACCGGAGAAGAGCTTTCCCTTGAGCGCTCTACGTTCTGTGACTATTTTACTCTCAAGGTTCCTTTCACGTTTCGCCCAACTCGTAGTGATGTACGCGATCTTTGTTTGAGCGTCAGATCCAAGAAAGTGGCGGTTCAGTGGAGTACGAGATCCACAAGAATACTGTAGAGGAACACAAAGAACAGAAGCGCCCTCTAAGCGATGATGAGACTGCCCTGGTTCTCGGGTTCGACTTCGGCCAAAATCTCCCATTTCCAAAACTACCGGTAGCGGATCACTTTTACTCCCGCCTGCTTTGGTTGGACCTCTGCAACGTTTATGTGCATGAAACTGACACTTCATTCATCTTCTACATGAAAGGCGTGGTCGCAAAAAAGCCAGCAGCGTTTGTGCCTTCTTGAAGTACGCAATCGAGCCCTGCTTCGGCAAGCACAAACACAAGGAACTCGTTTTGCTTTTTGATGCTTGCGGTGGTCAAAATCGCAATCACACAGTTTTTAGATCGCAGCTCTTTACCACCCATTTCCGGCTTGAGCGACGTCGCCGTCGCCGTCCGCGTATCGCGCATTGCATTATGGGACGTTTTCAATAATTACGTCACATGTGACGTCACGTGTGACGTCCCGAGGGTCGCGAGGGTCACGAGTGACGTCACGAATGTCACTAGGGTCACGAGTGCCTTCACGAGGGTCACTAGGGTCACAAGTGACGTCACGAGGGCCACTAGTGACGTCACGAGTGACGTCATGAGGGAGGGGGAGGAGGAGGGGAAAACAGGTTGTTTCTGTCACGCTACTCTGCAGACTACCTCGAGATGCGATGAGATTTCGAAGTTTCTTCTATGAAGGTCATGCTCGGCTGATTAAATTGACACGAACCTCTCGTTCCCTCACACAGCCCTTGGTTTTAGCGGAACGAGCCCTCTTGGCTTATGCGTCCCTCGCTAAGCGCTGTCCCTTGTTTCCTGGCGTCTCAGTTTAATGTGTGCAACAAATTTGGCAATTGACCGTACGACGGCTAGACATTCCCTTTCTAAAATTGTGTTGTTGCGCTCCGCCGAGGAAAACAGCCTGCTGGCATAGGCTATGGTGTGCTCTTGGTTGGGTTGGTATTGCGCAAAGACGGCTGAATGCCGTGGCCACTGTCGTCCGCGCGAATTTCTGTAGATGCTGAGTCGTCAAAATGGTCGAGGATGGGACATAACGCAAGTTCAGCCTTCAAATGTGGGAAAGATATTCATTGTGCGAGATAAAAAAACTGTTTGCTTTGTTTTGTTTTTATTGAAGAGCAGGGTTAGCGGTTGAGCGATCTGGGTCAAATTGTCCAATGAAGCGTCGACAATATGAAGAGAGGCACTGGATACTTGCCAAAAGTACTTCTTTAGAAAGTACGTTCTCTGTTGAAATCAATATGTAATCCCTGAAGAATTGCAGACACAGGCCAGAGCAAGCGTCCGATTGCGCCTCGGCTTCACGAGCCCCCGCACACCGGGTGTCGGAAGCACCCGTTGGCGCCTCTTTCACGCTCCGCGGTGTCCGTCGGTGAACGCCCAATGTTATCGTATTTGTTAACTACCTCTCCACACGCTTTGCAGTCGGCTGTATGACTGAGTGTCTAGCTCACAATATCCAGGTCGCGGGTTTGATACCCTGGGGGGACATTCGGAGTTCTGTTCTGCCTTCTCAGTTTACACACTTATTACTCTCTCGCGTTTGCGAATTCGTTTCGTGGGACTGAGCAGAATTTTTTCAGAAGGGGTTGCCGAAAGAATGTTTTAAAACAAGAGACGTTTCAAGTTATAATATCCGCTTTCATTTAATCGCATTGAACGAAAGCGACTGCGTCGGTTGACTACGCCAGTCGCCTTTTCCTCTACACTAAAACTTGCGTAATCTTCAGAGCACAAAAACACAAAAGTCGAATAACTCGGCACACGATTCATTGAACCGAGGCGGATTTAAAGTGAGGTGAACGGAAATACAAAACTCTCCCTACGGCGCATTTGCTGTTACCTAAGAGTATGCGGGTGGGTCGCAGGGCGATATGAAAACTTAAAACGCCGCATCTTCATAGTCGACGTTGTCTCGATACTCTATAAATATATTGCAGGTGCACCGACTGAGTTCCATTGGCGCATCGGGGTTTCAACCTTGGGTGTCCAACTCTGACCGGACTCAGTACAACCATGACTGTCCAAACACTGCTGTGTTGCCTCATTCTGTTTACTGCAGCTTTCGTAAGTCGAATCAACTACTTTTATGCTGAATTCATAATGGCGCTTGAATTTCAACCGCGAAGCGGATCCACTCGTCCTCATCGTTAAATGTGCGTGAATTTGTACTGCTTTTTTGAGCAACCGCGTTCGCAACCGCGTTCGCAACCGCGTTCGCAACCGCTTTGCGATTACGGTTCAGCCGCCAGGTGGGTATGGCGTTAAAGCAGCGTATAAACCTAAGCGCAGTAATGCATAGTAAGCACTTCGCGTGCAAAACGTGCGAACAAAATGTATTCGGTAGGATCGGTTGCGCACGGATGATATGGAGTGTCAAGTGGAGTAGCCTAGTATTATTTTCGAATGCTTTAAATTTAGTGTTACCAGACGTCCCGTTATGGCCGGGACAGTCCTGTTTTTTTATGTCCGCTTTTGCCGTCCCGTCTTCTTGTCCCAATAAAGAATTGGGTTTCATTATCGCAGGATTGAATAGTTTCGAAATCGGCACCAAGCGAATTGAAGCAAACCGAAACTCGCTTTGAAACCAAATGAATGCATGCAACTGAATTGTGAGTCTGACTGTTCCCTAGGCCATAGGGCTTAGTGCAATATGGTAACGTTTTGAAATAAGAGCAGTCATTTCATTGAATTGTTTCTCCCACACTCAAAAGAAGAAATGCTTATTTGCACTTATTATTCCAAGCATTTCCTTCTTGTTTCTTTTTTTTTTTCGAACCTATCACAGTGCAACTCCCCGGCCCGGATTGCTGATTTGATCTCATCGTGCGGAATGTTATGACGGGGCGTGGCGTAGTGGACGAGAAACAGCGTTCTACGCCAGCGCGCGTTGGCTTTGCCGACACCGAAGTATAAACAGCCCAGGTCCATTCCTAACGCCGATCATGGTCCGGGCCTGAAGTTACGACGATGCAAGGGGCTTTAGGCGACCATGCGAACACGTCCTCGGCGTGGCAGCCATGAGCCTAACTCGCAACCATTTGGACAGCTGCCTCGCTCCAAACCTCCAATCACCTAGTTTTCCCAACTGCGTTACCGCCAAAATATTTTTTGCTTTTTTCTTGTAGTTGCAATTCGCTCATAACTCCCAATATAGTTCGAATTCCTTGAAAGACATTTCTCCTCCATGTTCCTACGTTCAATGAGGTCCGTTTCCGCGAAAACATCAAGCCAGTTCAAAATCATTGGAGGGCCACTTCAACATCTAAAGGAATTTCATACAAAAATTACTGAAGGTATGCAAACTTTATTTAAAACAAGAAGCCATCTACGCTTTGTAAGTTTGTTATTAGAATACAAAACTTATATTCTGGACATGACACTTATATATGCGAAGTATTAATCTCATAAACATTAAGTTTCTGTCATATCCTTAAAATTGTATATATAATATTCAGTTCTTAATGTAAAAGGAAAAACTCTAACCACAACAAATAAGACGAAACCCGTCGTTTCAAGGCCAGTTCAGCCCCTTGTTCGCGGGTGACTGTTTTCGTCCTTGTCGTCTTTTTGCAAATTGCCCGGTGTTGTTGGCTCCTTTAAAGCGGCCGTTGTTTCTGAACGTGTTTTATGGTTCGTAGCGCCTCGCGTGACGCACCGGAAACCGGACACATAGGCGCTTGGAAGTGTCCGAGCTGACCGGTTAACGTTATTTTCGGTGTTCTGAATGTACCAGGACTCTAATAAACGGCGTCTTCGCCAGTTTCTTTCCGTGGCAAGAATAGAACAGTTGAATCCGATTGTATGGCCCTCTTTCAGGACGTGTTCTGCCAGCGCGCAACCCTGCACGCTATTCTTTTTGACGTCATAGTGATGCTGGCGTAGACGCGGACTCCGTATTATTTTTTGGTTAGTTTCTCTTTTATAATAATTGTTATTCCGAACCCCACCGAAGTGTTTACTTTTAAATATTCAGTTGCCATTAAAACATGTATCTTTATCAATTTCAGGCTTCGAAAGTTGAAGATGAGTCAAGGCTTCTTTTCATTTTTCATTCGCATACTATTTCAACGAAATAAAGTTCATAACTCAATTCAACTTTTATTTTTGCCTTTAATAAGTGGCACAAATCTACTTAATGATGCACCTTCAACTATTGCAATCAAGAAGTATCATGAAACATTTTACAGTACAGTAACAGACAGCCCAAGAAAACACTAGGCGTGACCGATTATCTTCAAGCTTCTTGATTCGTGGTTTGTCGTCCAACGCTCTTGTATTTTTATGCCGCAACCTCATTGGCCTTTGGGCAATAACAGCGCACCCAGAACTTGCTACGCCTTATGTTTCTTAAGATGTCAGTGACGTACTTGACAACTAGTTTCATCGTGCCCTACGGAGTGTTATATGTGAACACCCACACGAAGTGGCTGTACTCTCGCAGCACCCTGCTGGTGTCCGCAAGGAGCTTGGAAGTTCTTTGACAAATTTGCGAATCCCAAGCAAGATTGTTTTTTCTTCGGAAAGTTTTTTTTTTTTTTATTTCATCAAGGTTAATTGTGAAGTTCTGTAAACATGTTAGGATTTAGGCGGCTGTACCGTTACGTTACGCAGCCCTATTGGATACTTAACGTGATGTTAAACGGGCTTGCTTATATTTTATGCTTTGTTTTAGCATCGGTGAGGGAACAGTCAAAGCATACCTGATACCATAGCCTCCTCTATACTCACAAAGCCTGTCAGTTCGATGACGGAGCCACAGAGTGCCCGGTCGCAGATTTGGAGCGCGCAGAGGATTTAGTAGCACAGAGCATTTCTCAGAGTCTGGTATCTAGCGCACAGCTTTTGCAGCGGCGAGGACCCGAAACATGGTTTTCAAACCCAACGAGAAAAGAAGCGGTAGCCCTAGGAACGCGAGAAGCAGGAGCGGACATTCCGTCGCTCGGGACAAGTGTGTTCCGGCGTCTCGCCGCAGCGGGGCGCCCGTTACGTGAATCTTGTCTGCCGCTCTACCTTTTCACTTTCGGCGGCCGCGTCTCGTGACGATCTGCCAGGCTTTGCCAGTATAGAGGAGGCTATTGTGATAGACATGACCACACGAGTAAGGAAAAGCGCATCGTCACGGCATATCCACCACGCTTTACTGGTTTAGCGGGGAGTGACATACGCAGAGAAGAAAGACAAACGCCGTGACGTTGCGTTTTAGATCCTTCTTCATTGGACTCTGTCTCGTAGCACTCGCATCTAGGGTTAAGCGCAGTGTAGTATTCGAAAATATTCATAAACGCTCCGCGAATAAAAAAGAAGTAAAAAAAGATAATAAAGGACAGAACTATGTGCTGACAACTGAAGTTTATTCAGAAAATAAAATAGATACGCACACATCACTTCTAATACAAATAAGCGTTATACATTCCTAAGGTCATTGTCAACATCAGGAACGCAGGACGTGTCGAGTGCAGATCATGTCAATATCGCTTCGCAACCTATGGAATTTGTGACGTTAATTGATAACAACTCCAAAAGACAAATCACGACGCCGTAAACATAATATAACACGTCCTACATTTCTTAACCTGTCGCTGACTATAGTACATGGTATAATGACATTATTATTTAATTCTCATTTCCGAGCTCGAGACCCCACTAACAAAACGAACACCGGGAAAAAAATGACAAAGAATGTAAAATGTATTTTAAAGAATGTCATCTCGGTTTTCAGCGGAACTATAGAAGTTCGGCTTACACAAGGGGATTCCTTCTTTTTTATATAATACGCGTCAACTAGCTTTCTTGATGATGGGTTTCTGTTTTAAATGTAGATCCGTGTCGCTTGCTCATGCCATTTGGCTACCTTTGTCCTAGTTTCTATTCGGGTTGCTTTTACCATGAATGGTCAGCAACCGGCCCGACATTACTTTCTGGTATGAATAATGAATTTAATTTATTTTTATTTTCCCTTCTTTCCTGGATAAAGGTATTCTATATTAGGAAACATTTGGGAGATTTATTAATAAGAACACTTCGGCCTGCTTAAATGCTTTGATTCTCTCTTCTGCAGAGGACACAGCGAAGGTCTTCACTCTCGAGGAAGCAATGAAGAAGTTTGTTGATGTGTTTCAAAAAGTCTACGGTGTCGTTGTGTCGTGGACTGATACGAAGTCGGAGCATCAAGAAATGAAAAAACTCTTCTCTACTAAAAAGTAACTAAAACTCAGCCTTAACTCTCACGGAATTTGAAGTACATTAGTGCATTTTTCTTCTACGTCAAGTCTTTTTTTAGAACTTGTTTTTGCAACACGGTGTTATCCATATAGTGTAAGAACAGGTCGTTTTGCTCCTATCTGATATTCACATTGGGGGATTCGGCCGCAAAATCCAGGCATACGATTTTTGTACCTTAAGGCCCGTTCACACTCTTGCGACTGCTTGCGACCTCTTAAACCTGGGTTCCTTAAAGCTTCTTAAACCAGAAAACACACTGGCGCCATCTATTGGGAAGCAGTGTAAACTCGGCGGTCCGGCATATTTTTTTTTTTTATTTCTCGCGCAATATCCTTTCTTTTTTGGCTCGAAAAGCTTTTGTCAATGTTATAAACGAGCCTTTCTATGGGTATTACGCACATTTGACCTCGGAAATCCCGCAAAACCTTCGCTTTTGTGAAATGCAGTTCTAGAGTCACCGCATAGATGGCGCCACAATGTCAGTGTGTTCCCTCATTCTAGAAACATTTAAGAAGTTGTAAGAGATCTCGCCTCTCTCAGTCGTACTCGGTCGCAAGAGTGTGAACGTGCCTTTAAAGGGGTATCCACACGAAGGAGAACTCCGCGGACGGATGTCGTGACGTCAACAACCCGGCAAACTCCGTCACCGGCTCCGCCGCGTGCACCTGCGGAGCTTTCGTGCTGCCAGCACGAAGCCTCCGCGCCTCCGCCACGGAGGAGAACGGGAGAATGGCGCCGCGAGGCGTCAAAAAGGGATGACGTATGTCTCACGTGATGCGCGCTCCGCGGAGGAAAGGAGCGGATTTCTCCTTCGTGGGGTATCCACACGAAAGAGAAATCCGCTCCTTTCCTCCGCGGAGCGCGCATCACGTGAGACATACGTCATCCCTTTCTGACGCCTCGCGGCGCCGTTCTCCCGTTCTCCTCCGTGGCGGAGCCGCGGAGGCTTCGTACTTTTAGCATGAGAGCTCCGCAGGTGCGCGCGGCGGAGCCGGGGACGGAGTTTCCCGGGTTGTTGACGTCACGACATCCGGCCGCGGAGTTCTCCTTCGTGTGAATACCCCTTTACTGGAGCAACAAGATATATATATATGTAAAGTCGCAGCTTTTAATACCTGGCTCACACAAAAATAAATATTTCACGCTCTAAATCAAAACAATGATCGCGCCACAGAACCGAGCACAGCGAGCGCGAGTTGCTCGTGCAGACTCTCGCTCTGGCTCGGTCAGTGGATCTCGGGAGCCGGTGCGACAAAAATAAAAAGAAGAGATGCCTTTCACCTAAGCTCCGGGCCGGGCGTCTCAAATTCTTTTCCGGCAACTTCGAACACCGCCCGACATATATATATATATAATATATATATATATATATATATATATATATATATATATATATATATATATATATATATACTAGAGCTCCCTAGAATGGAGATAGATAATAGATTACGGGAAAGAATCAGTCGGCTGGACGAAAGAAAGGCGGCAGAAAGAGCTTAAAGGGGCACTGACACCCCAAAGGTCGTATTTATTTTTATTGTCTAAAACGATGCAAGTTGCAGTCATAAACACGTAAAAAAAAACGCATCGCGAAAAAAAATTTTCCCGCGCGCGCGCGCGCCTTTTTATTTTGGGCGTTTGATTTTCCCGCCTCTCGCCTCCTCGCTTCTTTTGATCGGTGACGTCAAAAATCAGGAAATTTAGAAGCTTTGTAGGCGACATCTCTAGAACATTTAATTACGGCAATCCTAAAACATGTTTTTTAACGCAATTGCGAACGCACTACGGCCCTTCTTTTTGAAATACCAAAAATCGGGAGTTCGTTGTGGTGTCGTCTCCTGGATTTGTATCCTCCAACGGAAAACAGGCGACACCGCTCAAAACCGGTCCGCGCCGCCGCTCACTCCTTTCCTCCTCGCTTTGGGTCGCCATGGCAACAGCAGGGAGTGGTGAAAGGAAGTCGACTCTCAGGTCTCCTCAATTTTTGACGTCAAGGCACCGGCGCCGATCGCGCGGGAACTTCGAATTCGGCATTTGGAAATTGTTTTTTTTACTTCACGAATACTGAATTCCCAAATCTCAAATTTTGAGGGTAATGTCCCGGCATCGTTTTCAATCGTTTCGGATAATAAAAAAAAATATGATTTTGATGTGTCAGTGCCCCTTTAAAGACTGGGAGACGTGCACCTCAGAACACGCTGTGTTGCTACAGACCGCTGAAAAACGAGATTAAGCAGTTACCGATTAGAAAATTATTCCGTGCTGATATTCCCACGGTGAAACGCACCCCAGTTTGCTCTTGCCCAACACTGTATTGCTAGCGAGAGTATGATACCTGCACGTTAATTGATCAACGGTTTATTAATCCCTTCCTTAGTTCGAAAACGTATACAGTTTCTGACAAAGTGAAAATAGCAAGCGTGTCTCTTCCGAATATCCGGCCTCTAGTACGGGCTTCGGGCCTTCCACCGTGCTTTGGCTGCGTGCGCCTGCTCGAGGTGCACGAAATGCCGAAGCATAGTCGAGGGTAAGAAGCTCGGACAGGAAGCGGGACAACTGAATCTCCTCCCTACCTTAGGTAGCACAGTTCTTTGGTCCGAAATTTTGTTTTTGTCCCGACCACTTAGGCCTTAAAGCCCTAAAGTAAAGGTAGAGCCAAAATGACCTTCTTTGGCCGGAGTCTGCGTTTCTTGACATCAATTCTCCAAACAAGTGCACGAGTGAAGACCCGTTGACACACTTGCAACGGAGTACGACCGAGAGAGACGAGACCTGTTGAAACCTCTTAAAATTGCTTAGGACGAGAGGATACACTGGCATACTGGCGCCATCTATCCGGTGACCCTGGAACCGCATTTCACAAGAGCCAAGGTTTTGCGGAATTCCCGAGATCAAATGTGCGTCATACCTATCAGAAAGGATCGTTTATGACGTTGACAAGTTTTTCGAGCCAAGAAAGAAAGGATATTGCGCGAGAGAAATAGAAAACATGCCAGACCGCCCAGTTTTTACTGCTGCCCAGTAGATGGCGCCAGTGTGTCCTCTCGTCGTAAGAGATATTAAGAGGTTCCAGGGCACTCGGTTCCAAGAGGTCGCAAGTGTGAACGGGCCTTTAGACTTCATTCTCGGCAGTTCGGCTGTCATCTGGAATCTTTGGCCCTACATCGACAACAAGTGGCAGAGGCTTAACTTCTGGTGTTTTGTTTTAGAGCGCAGCTCCTAGGCGCCCGTTTCCGGCGTGAGCGGCGTCGCCGTCGTCGTCGGCGTCGGCGTAACCCCGCACGTTGCAATTTGGGAATAATGCAAGCGGGCGTAACCGCGCTTTGCATTATGTGAAAATTTCCTTGCTAAGTGGGAGGGGAGCGGGAGACGAAGAGGGCAGGGTACGGAGGGGAAGGGGGGCATACCCTCCCCCCTTACCTTCCCCTTATCCTCCTCAAGAGCTGCTCTCTAATTCGGCATTACAGAGAATTGTAAACGTCTTTAATTTTTTTTTCTGGAACTTTGGGCCCAGAATGCCATATCAGTGCCAGATTTTGGCTTCACTGCTGGTTTTTCGGTTGATATGTGGCGACTTTTAGTTCAAGTCTGGCACTTGGGCCGGAGTTATGTGGCGAGCCAGAAAAAAGCCATGTAAACTCCGAAGAAAAAAAAAAAGAAAGACGTTTACAACACCCTGTAAAGCCGAATTAGAGCGCAGCTCTTGAGGAGAAGGAGGGGAGGGCACGGAGAGGAGGGTATGCACCTCCTCCGTACCCTCTCCTCCTCCCGTCCTCCTCCCCTATTCCTGCTTCTCCCCTCCCCTTCTTCTTCCCTCCTCCTCCCTTCCTCCCCTCCTCAATGTTCCTTCTCATTCTCCTCCCTCCACCTCCTCCTCCCTCGTGACGTCACTCGTGAAGACGCCGTGAAGATCGTGACCTTCGCGTGACCTTCACTGTGAGGATCGTGACCTTCCTTGTGACCTTTACGAGTCACCTTCGTGACGTCACTCGCGACCCTCATGACGTAACACGTGACGTCACGTGTGACGTTATTATCGGAAACGTCTCATAATGCAACGCGCGGTTACGCCGACGGCGACGGCGACGTCGTTGAAGCCGGAAACGGGCGCCTAAGAGCTGCGCTCTAAAATGGTCTCGCGTTAACATCGCCTTTGACCAAAGCCGTACAAGGCCCAAGCGAGGCCCCTGAGATCGCCAAGCTTGTGCCAAATTTGGCGTTTTCTGACCTGCTACAGGATGTCGTTTTTACCTTGTGAATGACTACAATTGCATCATTTTAATCGTGCCTTTTCTTTCAAAGATTTCAGGTAAAAGTCGAAAGGGGCCGTGTAAAGATTGGTGAGGCAAAAACAAGCAGCAGTACCCGCACTCTTCTGTACGCCAATCTCTATGACAATCAAGCGGATGCAAGTCAAACGTATACCGTCACACATTCTACTATTCGCAAAGAAAAATCATCTTACACGGTGAAACAAGGATTCAGCCTTGGCCTTGAGGTGTCGGGAGGTGTGACATTCAAAGAAACACTCGGGCTGAGTGGCAGCGTCGGACTTAAGTACGACAAAGAAACTGCCAAAACAGACTCTGAGACGAAACTCAAGACGTTCACCGTCGCCACAGGTGTCAGCGTTCCCCCTAATAGGACCGTTCAAGTGGAATGGTACGCCACAACCACTAAGAAGGTACTAATTTGCTATTTGCCTTCACAGTAACACTGTCCACTATATATTGTCGGAGAGAGTAGAAATTTATTTCTGACTTTGCATTATATTTTTTTTTTGTCGTGGCTACTTTGTTTTCCTTTTCTTATATAGTAGTATGGTGCCATGGAGCGCGTCTCCGACCGGTGTGTTTAGCGTCCTATGCTGCCCATACATCAAAAGTGGTACCTAAGTGGCAACAAATGACGTGGAAAGATGTATCATCGGGTGAACGGGTGTCCGGTGCAAAGCCCGGTTATTAATGCAAGTGCATTAACTGTCTCATGGAGCGAGCTGACGCCATCAGTTTGAAGCGCGGAGACGGAACCTAGTTTCCCTCGGTTCCATTGGCTGGCGCGCGTCGACGGGGCTCCCATTGGCCGCTGCGCTTGTCAGTTTCCACGACCACTCACCCCATGGCGCTGCGTGTCCATCAGCGCGGTCACCAGGGGAGCACAGGCGCTAACCGAAGACGAAAAATACGCAGCAGACGAAAAAGGGGCGGCCGAGCGGCTTGCATGCTTTCGCATTCACAACTCATAAGGAATGCTATAGATGTACCTCGATCTTTTTGTGAGTGTTGCCAATCTTGTTATGGAGCATATTGAAGAGAAAGGGCTAAACAAAAGTTGCATTTTCTGTCAAATTTTACCGCTGACACGTGGATGACACTTTCGTCATTTTAGATAGAGCTCGTGCTAACTATTTTCACCGAGAGTTAAACAGTGTTCACCCCTCGATGCAGTATACGTGCGAGGCAGAACAGCATGGGAATTTGCCCTTTCTGGATGTATGCCTACTGGGGACAGGCGAACCGAACCACAGGATTGAAACGAATGTGTACCGCAAACAATGTAAAACGGGTATTTTTTTTCTTTTTTGTCTCATCACCCAGGGCAACACGAGAAATCTGTAATGCGATCGTTTGCAGTCAGACCAATTATTTTGCCATCTAACGGTCTTTATGGCGAAAAGGAGATGGCTAATTTACAGGAAGCTTCAAAGAATTGTCACTACCCAAAGAGTTTTGTTGACGAGTTCAACAACCAAATGAAACAAAAGCGAGTTTTAGAATAACGTACGCAATTTCAGCGCACGCTGGCGCTAAATTTAGCGCTCTAATTAGCGCACGCTACGCAAAAGAGTTTTGGAATAGCACTAAGATATTGAGGTGGGCTAGTTGGATATGCATGATGTAAAAATTAAATAGCGCAAAGGTTAGACAAAGGACAAAGGACAGAACATGTAGACAAGACAAGCGCTAACTTACAACTGGCGTTTTAATAGAAAAGAAGAGAAGGAAGCAGCATAGAAATACGCCGAAAAAGGAAGAAAGAAGATTTATAATAAAAGGAAAAAGTGAAAGGTATATACAAGAATGAATAAAAGAAAAGAGAAGAAAATGAAAGAAAGGGGAGCTGCGTAACTAAATTAATTCCTGGGAATATATTGAAATTAAGAAAAGGCTGTAGCTTAAAGAAAGAAGAAGTTGAGAAGACTAGAAATTCCCGCTGAATCAACCTCAAGTTGGCCACCGAAGGTAAGTTAATTCTTTTTCAGTTAAAGCCACTGAAGGTGCACTCACACAGGCGTCTTCCTTGTCTTTGATGTTTAAGGCCTCGTAAATTTCTCGTGAAGTCTTATCGCGGAACCGTCGTAGGATTTTCGTTTTTGTCAGGATAGGTTGGCATTTACAGCCTCTTAAAATGTACTGCGAGATGTCCCGCTGGAGTTGATTGAGTGAGGAGGCGTGTTCCCGCAACCTGGTGTTGACGCAGCGGCCTGTCTGCCCGACGTATATCTTGCCACAAGTGAACGGTATTTCATAAATTACCTGGCTTTGGCTAGGTACATATAATTGCTTGTGTTTGACGGTGCACGGTACTTCTCGATCTTGCGGATCTTTGGACGCAGCTTCTTGAGCTTGTTAGGTGCAGAAAATGTGACAGGGATGCTATATGTAGACGCCACCTTTTTCAGGGTATGCGACACCTGGTGAATATAGGGTATCACTGCAGGACGCTGTCTTGGGGGTTTGGTATTTTCCTTTCCCTTTCGAGGGCGGATCATTCTTTCAACTGCCTCAGACAAGATGGTATTTGAATAGCCAGAAGTCGCAAGCCGTTGTAATCGGTCTTCAAAGCTCTGTCCCGCCTTGTGTTCGCACGATTTCTTGAGGGCCGCTTTGAGACAGTTGTTGATGATTGCCGTCTTTATGAGCTTTGAATGCGAAGACTCATATTGAAGTAATCTTTTCTTCGACCTTGGTTTATACATCCAACACGAGTGGTATTCCTGGAATTTCAGTTGTAGATCGAGAAATTGTAGGAAGAAGTCTGTAGGTAGCTCGTAGGTAAACTTTAGCCCTTGAGAATTTTGCGTAAAGATTGCTCGGATGTTGTTGATTTGCGTCTCCTCTTTTTCACCTGGTTTTTTGCTTAGAAGCACGAAATAGTCGTCAACGTACCTGTATACTTTTGGTACCTGGTCGTTGGTTATTTGCTGAGCGATGGCTCGATCGCACTGAGACAAGAAGATGTCGCATAGCACAGGAGCTACGCAGGAACCGATGCAGATTCCCTTCTTTTGCAGGTAGTGACTGTTGTCGAAAGTGACGACTGTGGATGCAAGGTAGTATGTCAGCAGTTCCATGAATGAATCCAGGTGTAAGCCAGAGTTGTTTTGGAAAGAAACTGTACCATTGTGCTCAATACAATCTCTAACGGCTTCGAACAGATGGTCATGAGGTATATGGAATAGAACAAATCTTCCACGTCAAGGGAGAAACCATATCTTACTTGTTGGTTGTTATTTTTTAGAAAATGTATAATTTCTTCTGAATTATGAATCAGAAAAGGATCTTCAAGTCGAAGAGCAGATAAGTTATTGAAAATGAACCGTGAGATTGCTCCTTGCCATGAACCTTTTTCTGTGACAACGACTCGGAATGGACATTCTATTTTGTGCGTCTTTGCCGTGAAAGACATATCCAAAAATTCTTTTTTGGCAGTAGTAATTTGTTTTTTCAGGTTAGCCATGGGGGGGGGGGGGGGGGGGGGGGACGGGGACATGTCTGGAGCAAAGTTGAAGTACTTTAACTTTTACTTTTTTTATGTTAATGTCTTGTAACTTTTTAAAGATTTTCGGGATGGCTACTCCTGCCTTTTCCATATAAGTGGTGTTTGAACACACTACAAATCCTCCTTCTTTATCGGAAACTAACCTCTGCGCTATTTAATTCTTACATTTTGGAATAGCGTTTCTCAGCCGCGAAGCAAAAGCCCAAACATCTGGCGCTTGCAACGCCACCAAGATACAATCACAAGTTTTATTTCACACACGAAATGCTGTAATTTGAGACAGAGTAACATTTTAGATTTGCTTAAACATGAGAATGCGACGCGAGCGGTCGACTGGTCGTGTCCGCTTGCGTCACCTCGGCAAGAGAGGTCTCGTGCGTGTACTGACTTTCGGAAGTATCGTACCTTAGGCGATACATTTTCGCGTGTCGCAAGCATCAAGTTGCCGGTGATCCTTGCCAAACCAATTGGTGCGTTGTCGTCCCGTATTGAAAATTGCAGTCGTCGGCGGCGAGCATGCTGCCGACGTGGCGCTCACGAAGCCGCCAAAGCTGCTTCAGACATGGTCTTGGGAGCCGCCATTTCTTAACTGTGCTCGCCTTGGCTTAGCCAACTCCTTACCACGGATCCACCTTGAAGAAGCGCAAAGACGTTTTGCGTGTGTACGCAATTTGCACAAAAAGAGCGTACGCTAAAATAGGACACGCAAAGCTCAAAACGTGGTTATCGTTCGGCTTATGCGCTGTGGCGACGACGCTATTTTTTGCATACGCAAAGCTTTAACGTGCGCTATGCTAAAACTCCCTGAAATTTGCAACCGTATGAAACAGAAAGAGATAAGGATATAATGTGCATCCCCTTCGTCAAAGAAGTTTCCGAACCTCTGAGCCGCGCTTCGAGGCCCCTTGGCATTCGAACTGTTTACAAAAAACCATACAAATTTCTTGGGAATTCCGCTTGCAAACCAAAGGACCCAACCCCGCGAACGTCCAGAGAGGCGTTATCTAAAAGATTCCATGCAGTGATCGCCGGCGTCCTACATTGGTGAAACCGGACGGAGGAGAAAGACCAGACTAAAAGAACAAGCATGAATTCACGTACACATCCCACGCGACGTGACTGAAGACTAAACTTGTGGACCCTGCGTGGACAATAGGTCATTCTTCTGACTCTGTGGCCGCCAAGACATTAGCGATTGAGGATAAATGGGGGCCGCGAAAACTGCTATAAGTGTTCATACCTGTAGTCCATACCTGTAGCTATGGAATAAAGCCAAATGCTACAGGCCGGCGTGTCCAATAACGAGCCTGTTAGAAACCACGGGGTATATTTGCTCCGTCGTACGTATTAGTACGCCAAGACGCGTCATGTGGAGGAAAGTTTTTGCTGCATATCGAGCTTTCGTGGCGGCTCCGTCTGCTTTCCACTACTGAAAACTACTGAATGAATTAAATACCGCCTGGCAGCGATGTGGCGAACAGAACCCGGGATCAGAACCATGTCCCTTAAGAAACAAAGATGAGTATAGTATCGAGTGATCGACACGGGAGCATATGTATGGACCGCGTGCGGAAGGAAGGTACCGGTGCAGATATGTTTTCGACACCGAGATTGGATCGGATTGGATTGTTACGGGTAAGGTGAAACGACTTTATGTCAATGTTGCCTGCGCGCTCTGAAACTTCTGCAAGCAGTTGATTTATTTACGAAATGTGGCATGAAACTTTATGTAGCTAAATGTACACATCGCGACACTGTTAGCGTGAACACGACATCGGCGCATTTTTGCATTTTACTTCTAAATAATGTTAGAGAGCACGAAATTTTATCGCTGACATTATAGAACTAAATGAGCTCTTTCCGTCGAAACGATAACTTGGATGACATCACTTGGTTTCAAAGAGAAAAACTGGAAAAACCGGCGATCACTTGTTCGCGCTAACAGTGTCGCGCTCTGTACCTTTACGTCACGAATATAAAATAGCGTACTATAACACCAGGGAAGCATTGGCGTAAGATTAGTGCTCTTCGTGCTCGGCGTATCAGAATTTCTTTCGCGCACTCTTTCGCAATGCAGATGCCAGCTTTTCTGAGGCAGTGCATGTCCACCAGCCTTCGGGCCCTAGTCCATCATAGGGTAAGACGGAGTATAGAATCGTGGTTCGTCCACAGGGACAATTCCGTGTGCGACAAAACCGCGGCCCTATCCAGGAAGCGTATACGAACATTCCTGATAAATAACGCTGACGTAGGTTGAACCTTGCATTTGCTTTGTAACTATACTGAAGATGCCTCCCACGAATCTCAGAAATACGCTCACCGACCAAAAGCTCAACGGACAGAGCTCACCGAACAGAAGCTTACCGGATAAAAGGTCAGCTATTTTTTTCACAGACCAAGACATCAGGTCGCCAGACGAAAATTTCATGTTGGTCTTAATTAACACGCGCGCGGACAACATAGGTGCATGCGTGCGACAATAAAAAGCAACGCTAAATTTAATGTGACACGCACACACTTTGTTGACTAGAGTAGGAACGAGTTTGTTTATTGGTTGGTTAATAGCGTAGGCACTTCCCTACTGCCTCCAGCAGTCTTGGTAGATCTCGGTGTACCTTGAACCCCTCGTAAACGAATTCCAGACGGTTCTGGCATACATTGAGTCATCCAAGCTTGGTCTTATCAGCTCCGCCCAGTTTCGATGACATTAATATTGGTCCCAAATCGTCGCTTTTTTGCCTGTCCACACCGAACATTGGATGGGGTACCAGTTCTAAAATTGGTACAGTGTTCATCGCATCCGCACTCCACACTTTAGCCCAACCAGTATTTTGCCTGGGTAGCAAAAAAAGGGAAAAAAAAGAACAACAACAAAGTGAGTTTTTGTCCAAGTTTTTGAAAAGCTTTTGTAGGCTTTTGTCGGATGAGCTTATGTCCTGGGTAGCAAAAAAAGGGAAAAAAAAAGAACTCAAGGTGGTGAGTTTTTGTCCAAGTTTTTGAAAAGCTTTTGTAGGCTTTTGTCGGATGAGCTTATGTCCGGTGAGATTTTGTCCGTGAGCTTTGGCCGGTGAGCTCCTCTCGCATGGGAGGCGAAATGTCGAATGAAATTGTTTTGGAGCGCAGCTCTTAGGCGCCAGTTTCCTGGTTGAGAGGCGTCGCCGTCGGCGTCGGCGTAACCGCGCGCATTGCATGACGGAGTTTTCGTAGATCATTTTCGCCGTCCCGCACAGTCAAGGCCACCGGCGCGCATTTCTCAGTAGCGGCTTCTTCGTTGCGGAAGGCTGAACGGTGGGGGAAACGCGGTCCACGAAAACTCCCTATTATGAGCAATTTTTAGCTCGAAATTTAGTGGGAAAATTTTTTCGCTAATTTTAGCGGTGAATTTCTCCGCTCTATTTAGCAGGAAACGTTTCCCGCTATAGTTAGCATTGAAATTGACTTCAGGTGACCTCAACACCAATTAAGCTTCCCCGCTAACTTTACCAGGAAAAGTTTAGCTAAATTTCCCCGCTATATTTCGCAGAAACATTAGGGAGTTTTCGTAGATCGTTTTCGCCGTCCCGCAAGGCCCTCCGCAACCCGCAACGATAGCGGGAACTCCACAGTCAAGGCTATCGGCGCGCAGGCGCAGTAGCAACTTCTTCGTTGCGGAAAGCTTAGCGGAGGGGGCAACGAAAACTCCCTATTCTCCCAGTAAATTTAGCGGGCAAGTTTGACGCTAAAGTTCGCAGGAAAATTTCCCCGGTAAATTTAGCAGAAATATTAGCGAGTTTTAGTAGACCGTGTTTCCCACTCCGCTAAGCCCCTCCGCTACAAGGAACTCTACAGTCAAGGCCATCGGCGCGCAGGCGCAGTGGCGGTTACTTTGTAGCGGAGGGCCAGCGGAGGGGGAAACACGGTCCACTAAAACTCCCTATTACCCCGCTAAACTTAGCGGTAAAATTTCTATGCTGAAATTCGCGGGAAAGGTTTTCCGCTAAATTTAGGATGGAAATTTTTCCGCTAAATTTACAGGGGAAATTGAATTGGCGTTGCGCTCACGTGACGTTAATTTCCCCACTAATTATACCGGTAGGCGTTTTCCGCTAATTTTAGCGGGTAGATTTTTTCTAAATTTCCCGCTAACTTTGGCGGGCATATTAGACAGTTTTAGGATAGCGTTGCTGGACCTTACGTACGCACTACGCAATAGTATAGCGTACGCTAAAAATGAGCTGCTCGGACCGAATTTAGTTGTGCGCTACGTTTCCGAGTGAACACCGCGCATGATCTTGGTTAGATTTGCTAGAGCCGTAGAATCCCGCGTGTTTATAGCGCAATTATGCTCCTGGAAAGAAATATTGAAAATGAAAACGTGTCCAATCATTTTATTTCAAATTAAACCAAGCCACAGCTGCCTCGTCAAGCGCGCTTTTCTGCGGGGTACAGAGGCTACGAGTACGAGTGCGTAGCCAAATTCGATCACGGAGCCTCCGACACTCGTCCCGTGGAAACGGCACTTTTTATCAATGCTATCGCGGAATGAAATTCATGACCCTGATGTCCAGTGCATAGCGAGAACTTCGGGGATTTTTTTTAGAGTCGTTCGTCCGTCGGCGATGAACTATTAGAATATGCTTAGCGTTGAGCAGATCGCAGCGTCGACGCACATTCCGAGCGGCGAACATTTTCACTGTGCACTCCTTCAGCTGCACGACGATCTGATTCGACCGCGGTAGGTCCCAGAAAGAATCGCCGAGCTGAACACCACGCAATTTCACGTAACACAGAACTTCGAAAACACCACGTCGCCCCTGCTGCGCCAGTCGAGGCAACCGCCATCTTGAAACTGGCGCTCTCGTTGGGTCCGAGATCTCTCGAGAGCGTCCCGCAAGGCCCGCTAGCCAGCAACGCAAAATCTCCAGCGTTGCGTGCGTACGCAATACGCTTGCCCTTTTATTGCGTTCTGCGCATGCGCACTCACGACCCGCAATTTTTTTGAGTACGCAAAGCTATAGCGTACGGTCCACAAAAACAGTCTATTTTTGCTATATTTCCCGCTAAATTTAGCGGGAAAATTTTCCCTAAATTTACCGCTATATTTAGCGCGAACATTTTCCTGCTAAATTTAGCAGGGAAATTTTCGCCGAATTTAGCGGAAAAAGCCGAAGAGGAGGGTAGGGGGAGGAGGGGCATACCCTCCCCTCCTTCTCCTCAAGAGCTGCGCTCTAATTCGGCGTTACGAAGAATTGTAAACGTCTTTAATTTTTTTACGTTCTGTGAAGTCGGAGCTCTTGTTTTAATTTACGGAGAGACTGACGAATGGCGACTACCTCTGATAAAATCCAAGATTGAAATGATCCGGCTTTTTATTCCCCACGCGATCGTCTTCTTTCTCCAACAGTGACTTTCGCCACAAATTAATCTTAGAAAGTAGGTAAGAATATAGTTTATTATGTTTTGAACACAGGAAACAAATGTAACAATGTTATCACTGCGTGTGTTGCTATGCCACTGCATATTTTAACTATGACTGGAAAACCTCCAGTAGACAAAGTACTTCTAAAAATTAACAAACAAACACTTCTTTTGCATTAATGTCATAGCGTCTACGGCTAGGAATAAGGTCATGCGTTTTTAATGATTCGGACATCTCTCAATGGCGCAGCAAATAGCTCATCTAAGCCTTATTGACTCTTCGGATGCTGCTCTGTCTTTTCAGGATTTCATTTGGACCTGCAATGTGACCATCAGTGGTTACTTTGCTATGGGGCTCAAAACGCCGTTGGAAAACACCTACATGCTCATCATTCCAGCGTATTACCTCGCTTTTGCTAACAAGGAACTTCATATAGTAGGCCCCAGGCACGCACGCTTTGAGGCTTCTGGTGTATTCACAGCAATCACCGTCCCGGAATCCGACATCTACACAACTGACGTGACGGACACTTTGAAGGACAAAATAACGATGATTTCTGGAAGGTCTCACACTGTTGGGTAAACGTTAGAAGCAGGCGGGTGCTTTCGGCATATTCAAGCGGCGGTCCAACGTCCGCAACGATACTACTGGTGGCGTCTGTGCTCAGCATCGCGATCCAAAGAAGCAGTCTAGGCGAGTGTCAAGATTTTTGTTTTGCATTCAAAAGCTTTTTTGTGTGTGTGCAGACTGCAATATGGATCTCTCAAAACTTAGCTCGCAATAAAGAAAACATAAAGTGCAAGTTTGATATTATTAAAGAGATGCTTCCACGCAACCTTGGTTCTTGGATTTGTTATACAAACCAGTGGCATTCGCGATTTATTTTAAAGTAGAAGAAAGAAACGTTCAGGTTTTTTCTTGACGTCTTTTCTTTCGAAGTGCTGTATGTATATTTTGCCATATTTATTTGAAAAGTTTTTTTTTTAATGAGAATTCAAAGTCCTGTAACTCATGTTTAACATGGTAACTCACCAACAAAGATTTAATACAGATTCCCGGTAGAAATAAAAGCTCAACAAAAAATAACGTAAAAAGCGCAACGCATGCCGCTTCTTCGTAAAAAAGTATGTTAGTACAATAAAGGTTTAAAAATGCTTATTCTACGAGATTTGCAATGTTCTTCTTTTTTTTTCAGACGGCTGTCGACCAGTTAGTTTTCCTTTTGTCTTGACTGTATGCTAGAGTAACTAGGTTGGCTTTCTAAGGAGCATTTATATTAGTGGTTCAACTTTCCTAAATACGCTGACATGATTCAAATATTGTGAAGCGTGACTCTGAACGTGGAAAACGCGTTCCCGAGAGAAACAGAGTTATGAAGAAAGGTGCATTGTCATGAGAGCTGTAACAGTTGTTGGGCTGGCAGCTTAGAACGATGGGAACGCCCTCCTTACCCTTGTACTTACACTCGAGTTTTTGCGTCAACTCGTCGCTTCGCTCCCACGCGCTGGTCTTGTTGCATCCTTGCTAGTGTTCCTAGATTTCAGAGAGTTTCCAACTGCTGTATAAGGGTCACGTAGTGTATGGGCCGCGTTTACAATAAGAGGTGCGAGGAGGTGCCGGAAGCGTTAATCGTCTGCAAACGTCTCCGCCTTTTCACATGATTTTCCTCCTCGCTACGCGACAACGCCGTGCATGCGCATTAGGAACCAATCTGAGCAGGAGGCGTTAGCCATTAAATTCGAAACGCTCTCCATGACTTGACCTGCTCTCTCGCTCAAGCCTAGGCTCTCCTCACCCTTGCTCGTTACGTGGTGTCCAAAGTGAAGGAAAGATGGCCGAGTCGTAAGCGCTTCTCAGGCAGCCTCGGTCATGAAGGGGCTGAAAGCACCAGAGCCGCTCTTCTTTATAGGCAACACTGTTGAAAACTGTAAACCTTTTGAAGGCCGAGTGAAAATATCTGCGTAACAGCAACGGAACCAGCCACCAAATGAGAGGACGGACAGAAGATTACGATGTTGTTGCTGTAGCACGTCGCCGGAGAACAGATCTTTGGAGTTCACCCGTATTTCAACCTGAAAGAAGAGAAAACATAGCCGGCCGTCCTAGGGAATTTTCAAAGATATCACTTTCCCGAGAAGGAAAGTTTCGAGCGTTCTGTATTCGGGATACGGAAGCAAGCATGAAAGTAAGCCGCTTGAGCAATGGCCCTCTTCCAAGGAGAGTTGTGAGCATGCTCGCGTTCTCGTCAAACAGTGGTGACATTCTTATTCATACTCCGTTTCACATTAGGTCCGACCGTAGCGAACGCTATGGACCGGTGGAGCTGATCAAGCAGCGCCAAGCGTGTATGCACCTTTTCTACAAGGACGCAGCCATCTTGAATGTCGTTACTTCTGTTATGCGGTAAAACATGCTTTTGATCTCTCCACGCCGCTGGAAGGCGTTTACGAAAAATGCATTATTGTCACAAACTCTTGTTTGGCCTCACCCTTTCCGCATTTCCGCAATGGCAGATTCACCTTTACCGTACTAATGGCGGCAATGAACCTGCATTCTCCAGAATTGTATCGGGCGTCGTCACTTTCGTAAGTCAACGGCAAACGAGAATGTGCTCTTCAGTGTACAGTTCATTCTCGATCTCTCTTTGCGTCGATGTCCACAATAATGGGACCAGTCAAAACGAAGTGCCAACCCACACAGTTCAGCTAATAAAACGGAGCAGGTGCACCTTACGTACACATACACAGTCTCAGTAAGCACGTTTAGCGAAAACCACGAACTCGCAAGCAGATCCCGTCACCGTTGAGAAATTCCGAGCACAGTCACGGTTTCGTCCACGATGTCGTCGGGGCGGCGTCTTCCGCGTATTTTTCGCTCGCTGGATGCTTCTGAGGCCGGTCGGACGAAGAGGCGCAAGGAACAAGGCGGGACAGCGGCCGTCATCCACCATCCCAGGATCCCAGGGGTGCTATGTTGCGCTTTTTGCACTCCCAGGAGACTTGGAAGAGGGAAGTGACGTCAACGACACAGCAAATGCAGATTGGGTGTTGACAGAAGAAAACGAAGTCAACACCCAATCTGCGTTTGCTGTGTCGTTGACGTCACTTCCCTCTCCCTAGTCTCCTGGGAGTGCAAAAAGCGCAACATAGCACCCCAGGACCCACAGTGCTATGATCCCGGTGCGCAGGCACTGCTTGTAGGCCGACACCGGCCGCCATCTCCTTGAATGCGCTGAACACGATGGTGCTCGAGCGGTGCTGAAGGCGGCCAACGCCGAACTGGGGTTCACCTGCGGAACCAAGGAAGAAACGGCACGGATTAAAACAGACCAAGGGGCAAGTCCTCAAAGCAGTGCTTACCTTTCTGGATGTAGGAAACCGGTCCGTTCCAGATCTCCATGGCGGTGAGAAACAAACCGCCCACGAGCGGAAAGAAAATGGCTATAGCGGCCTCCTGACTTCTTCGGCTTCCTCACACCACTCTCTCCCGCCGACCATTGGAGAAGCGTGCTGTCCGGAACTGGCGGTATTGCACCCTCTCCCCATTGCCGGGCGGAGAGAAGCGCAGTGTGTGTGTGTGTGTGTAGGCATTGTAAAAGGGGAGGGGGGGGGATTTGAGTTGCCTGTTCGTGTTTTTGGCGACGACGAAAAAGAGAGGACTTCCGACTTTGGTGAAAAGCAAAATGGTTTTGTTTATTTTTTCCTTTTTGGGGACCGTCGCCCGCGGGGAAACCGGTTCCCGGCACGAGTCGCTGCCGCTTCGCCCTCGGAATCTCCACAGCGTCCCTGAATTTGGGCAACGCGCTGCTCTCGGCTTGCCCCTTTTTATTATTATTAGTGCAACAAGTAAAGCTTGTTCGCCTCAAAACGCCGCTCGGCCAACAACACTCGGCCCGCGCCTTGTCAATTCTCCACTTGGGGCGATCGAACCCGTAGCCCCCTTGGCGACCGAACACCCGGCCAGTGACAGACGGGTCGAGGAGCCCAGTTGTGTTTGATAAAAGAGCAGTAATAAAAAACTGACCGTACACACATACGATCGACATTCTCCAGATAATTATTTGTTTTCCCTTTGTGAACAATACATAGCTATGTTCTAATTCTGCGACATGTATTTTCTCCACCTAGGCCGTGTCCCCACAGACATCTCAAAAAGCCTGAAGGTTTTCCCGACCCCATTAGAAAAGTCCTTGACAGGCTTTCAGACATTTCAAGGCATTGTAAAGGGGACTTCAGACATTTCAGGAGAGCCTCTGACGGGGCCAACGAACCCACCAGGAAATATCGGTGCACCTTTCAAACATCACAAGAATTCCTGAAGTCCCTTTCACACCCTTTAAAGAATTCCTGGAGTCCCCTCAGAGCGATTTTCAATAGGGGTACGTCTTGAAAAAGCGTTTTAAATCAAGGGACTTTGAAGCCGATTGTGTGCTACTAACAGATTGACCAGTCTCGAGTTAGAAATGAACGCTTACTCATCTTTGCATTCAATTCCTGCTCCGCAAAGTGCTAACGTCTCGAATCAATAGGCCTCGAATTATCAGCTTAGGAGCATTTTCAACTTTTTCCGTCATAAGTAAACAGAAGGCCGCCATTAGTACGGCACATGTATCATTTCTCAGAGGATGATATTGATCAAAGTGCCCAGATTGAATTTCGGAGAACGTCTATAGCAGACGGACGAAGGTGAAAATGGACGCCGACGCACAGCTTTCATGTCCGCGTCTGGGCATTGCAGACGACTATACCTATTTTCCCCTCAAGCAAAAAGCAAGTTTTGCGCATTGTCCATACGCGGCGCGAAGTAGTTCTTACAAGATTTGGTTGTCAGAGGGAGAAGTCATGCTTTTGGTGTTTGAAATGTGTAGGTCTTGTTAAGACAACATATATCTAATCTAAAAGGCACCTACATATATCTCAGTCCTCCACATAAATGGGAAATTAGCAATGCTCCGCGTGGGGCCGGACTTTTTTTTACTATGGTTCTTGAGGTGAAAATAAGAATAGAGCCCCGCATATCCGCGGATTACCCGCAGATCATCCGCGGATATGGGCCGTCAAGTGGCGGATGCAGATAAAAGTGATTGACAATTGGCGGATTGCGAATCGGATGCGAATGCCAGGTGCTGCGGATGCGAATCGAATGCTGATATCCTATCGTCCAGCTTTACATTTTTGCCGAGGTGGCCCGAAAGCCTCTGTAACCGCAGAGTGTAAACAAGTGAATGAAACTATGATGTGCATCATTAAATGTTTTGCGGGAGCTTAATACTCTCCTATAAAAAGGGTGCCAATCAATTTGAAAATTGTTTTTTGGGCCAAGAAATACCTGGTTCTCACCAAAGATCCCTTTAGAGCGTTCTATCTCGCCAAAAATGCTGTTCATGGACAAAAGTAAGGAATGCAACAGTCGTCCCGGGAAAGCGTTTTCTTGATTGGCAGGGAAAGAGCAGAAGACGTTCTTCGGGCATAATAAACCCAAAACGTACAAGTCACAAGAAAGAATAATCCTTCTAACGCGAGAGCGAGGAGTTCCTGTACCTCACTGTTGTTACGCAGTTCGTGGATACCACCCCAGCATCAAGTGCACCAGCGGAGAGAAACTTCTCATGAGCGGGCCTTGTAATTCCAGATAGAAAAAATTGTAGGAATTCGTCCATCGTTGACGATTTTCTGTTTTTACACAGCAA